TATATAAGGATTCTGTGTACTTTCTATTCTATTTTGCTGTGAGCCTAAAATAAATCTAAAAATAACATTGACTTCAAAACATAGGAACATATTTCTGAGAAAGATATACAAATCAACAAATGGACAAATGTGCATTCCTGATTGGAATATAGAATAGTGAAACAGGCCTTCCTTTGTGGTACCACAGGTTAAAGTGCAACACTAAGAAGATATTTGCAGCTACTGCAGCATAAGTTCAATTCCTGGCCAGGTAGGTGACCCACATGGTGTGGTGGATCTCTCCTGTCCCATCCACTGTTCCCTTAGAAGTGTGTTGTGTCCCAGTTTATCTGCTTGTTCTGTTCCCCATTCTGTCTATGATGAATCCTCTCACACGTCTGGCTTGTACCCCAGTTCTTGTATGCATAAATCTTTTAAAGTAACAGTATTGAAGCAACTTTCAAATAATTATAGACAAAATTTAAAGAGAAATAATATTAAAACAGGATAAAAGGAGCCACATATCAGGGAATCCACAATCAGCAGTCTTCTCAGAAGAAACATTAACAGTCACAAGAGTTATAATGACCTGTTTGATATGGTTGAAGGAAAGCATCTCCAACCAAGAACTCTCTTTCCAACTAAGCTGATATTAAGATTTCAATGAGTGAATGAGTAATAAAGAGACTTACATACAAGCAACAGGTGAATTAATGACTAGCATCTAAACCATTAAATGGAAAGAAACATTAGTAGGAAGTCACTTGATTGAAAAAGCAGAGCAGAGTAAAACTGGTGTGGTTTAAGGAGCTCAAGATTAACCTACTGTCAACTTAAGATAAGTTTTAAATATAGAGCCCCATCTATAAAATATATACTAACCTAGAACGAAGTTACTTAAAAGAAATGGAGAAAATAAAAGTAGAATCTAGGGGGCCTCCCTGGTGGCCTAGGGGTTAAGACTTAGTATTACCACTGCAGGCCCACTTCAACAGCCTGAGTTTGAACCCTGGCTAGGGAGCTAACCAACATGGCACAGTAGACCTCTCCTATTCTGCCCACTGCTCCCCTTAGTAGTATATATCAGTAGATCGGCTTTTTCTCCTCCCCACTCTGTCTCTGGTAAATCCTCTCACAGTCTCACACACACATGCATGCACACACACACACATACTTCTGGCCAGTTCTTCTATAAGAAAATAAATATTTTTTTAAAAAGAAAGCATTAAAAAAAAAAGAGTCTAATGAGTACACAAGAGACTAATTCCAAAACACAAGGAAAGGGAATGAGAGGAACATAAAAACCGAGAAATAAAGGGAAAAAAATAGAAAAAAATAGCAATAAATATTAATACTTACATAGCAACAATTATCCTAAATATTAATAGTCTGAACTAACCATAAAAAGACACAGTGTGGTAGATTAGAGCAGAAAACAAAAGCCACTTCCTACTGTCTCCAGAAGATACACCTCAGTTCCAAAGATAACAAAGACTCAAATTAAGTGGCCTAAAACCAAATAGGACCATAAAGTATGGTATAAATAGCCGTCATTTCATCAGATCAAATAAACTTCCAGCGAAAAATAGTAACAGGCTGTCCCTGGTGGCACAGCGGGTTAAAGCACAGCACGAAGAAGCTAAAGCCACTCCCATAGGAGTTTGATCCCCGTCTGCCCTGAGGAGAGCCACATGGCGTGGCAGACCTCTCGTGACCCGCCCACTGCTCGCCTCAGCAGTGTACTTTATGGATCTGCCTGTTCTGGTCCCCACTCTGTCTCTGGTGAATCCTCTCACAGCTCCTGTGTGCCTCTGGCCTTTACCCCAGTTCTGTATGCATAAGTAAGTAAATCTTAAAAAAAAAAAAAAAATAGTAACAAGCATCACGGATGGACATTATATAATGATTAAGGGATGTCAATACACTGTGAAGATATACACCTCATCAACCAATAGTTTGTTATGTACAAATATTAAAGCAACTCTTAACAAACTTAAAAACAAATGTCCACTGGCCCTCCCTGGTGGCGCAATGGGTTAAAGCACAGCACTGAGAATCTAAAGCTGCTTCCGCATGCATGAGTTCAATTCCCGCCTGCCCCGTAGGTGACCACATGGCGTGGCAGACCTCTCCTGGCCCACCCGCTGCTCCCCTCAGCAGTGTACTTCATCAATCTGCCTGTTCTGTTCCCCACTCTGTCTCTGGTGAAGCCTCTCACTGCCCCTGAGCCTCTGGCCTGTACCCAGTTCTGTATGTACAAATAAATAAATCTTTAAAAAAAAAGATGTTCACAATACAATAGTAATAAGGGACTTCAACACCCCACTTACATCAATGGACAAATTAATCAAATAGGAAATAAGAAAACAACAATCTTAAATGAAGGTTAGACCAGATGGGCTTAATTCAAATTTATAGAGCACTATAAATAATAAAAACAGAGTATATATTCTTCACAGACATTCACAAGGACAGACTATGCATTTAGTCACAAAGCATGTGTCAATCAATTTAATAAGACAAATCATATTAAATATGATCTCTTTTTATTTGTTGTATCAAACCACAAAAATGTGGAGTAACCATTTGAGACACATGGAGATTAAACAATTTGTTTAATAGTGGGATAACAAGAAAATCAAAAGAAAAATAAAAACTAACTGGAGAAGAAGAAATAAAGACAGGAGTTAGAGAACATATGGGAAATAGTAACACAGTAGGATGTAGGAAGTTTATAATGATGCAAGCTTATATTAAGAAACAAGAAAGATAGCATGCAAACAGTCAATCTAACCTTGCACTTTAAGGAAATAAAAGGACAAGAACAAATTAAATCAAAAGCCACAGGAAGAAAGGAAAAAAAAAAATAAAACTTGCATGAAATAGAAGTAAGGTTTTACAATGAAGCCCAGGACTGGCTCTTTGAAAAAGCAAACAAACTCTAGTTAGGCTCATTAAGAAAGAAACACACACACACACAGAGATAACTCTAAGTAGAGGAAGAAATGAAAGAGGAGAAATCATAACAAACATCACAAAAATACAGGTTATCAGAGATAAATATGGTCATCTTTATGCCAACAAACTGAAAATATAAAATAGATGGACAAATCGTGCAACCATCCAAGATTAAATCAGAAACAGAAAATTTGAACAAGCAAGGGAATTTAAACAATATTCAAAAGTCTTCCAAAAAAGAATACCAGGATCAGATCACTGGTGAGTTTAAAGACAGGTAAATATCTCTGGAAAACAGCATGGATGTTTCCCAAAGCATTAAAATAGATCATAAAAATAATACTCAACAGGGCCCTCCCTGGTCACACAACGGGTTAAAGCACAGCACTAAGAAGCTAAAGCCACTTCAGCCTGAGTTTGATTCCCGCCTGCCCCGGAGGTGATCCACATGGCGCGGCAGACCTCTCCTGACTGGCCTATTGTCCCCTCAGCAGCATACTTCCTCAGTTCTGCCTGTTCTGCTCCCCACTCTGTCTCTGATAAAGCCTCTCATCGCCCCTGCACCTCTGGCTTGTACCCCAGTTCTTTATGCATAAATAAATAAATCTTTTAAAATATATTCAATAATCCCTCTTCAATGTATCTACTGTAGGAATACAATAACCCTATTTAAGGGGAAAGATGCATACCTATGTTCACTGCAGCAATATTTACAATAGCCAAACTATAAACACAATAGAAAAGTGGAGCGAGTGTATGTGGTATGCACACACAATGGAATATCCCTCAGTTTTATTGAAAAGTGGAAATATTGCCAGTATGACAACATAGATACAAGTAGTGGGGATTCTGTTTGGTAAATCAAGTCACAATGAGAAAGACAATATTAGATTATTTCATCCATCTGTGGGCAATAAGAAAGCAAAGGAACAGAAAAAAAAAATACACACACACTTGAAATTTGACAGCTGAATCAGGGTTACCAAAAGGGGAGTGAGGGTGGAGAATGAGGACAAAAATCGGGAGGAGACCCCGTGGATGATAGTGGAGGGTAATTAGGGTTTTAGATGGGTATGTGCGGTGTGATAACATATATTTGTAGAGGTGTGAAACGATACTCCTAAAAAACATGTGTGTTATAATCCAACATTGCACCAATAGCATTATTTCAAAAGCTAAACACATCATATAATTCAGCAATTCCGTTTTTATATAAACCCAAAAGTAATATAAAGAATGCAGTAATTCATATAGATATTTGTATATTCAAATGTATTTCACAGCATTTATAGTAACTAAAAGGTAGAAGCAATACAAATATCCGCTGACAGATAAATGAATAAAATGTGAATACATTTAAGAATAATTTTAAAAATGAAAACTGTTTAGTTTTAAAAATGACAAGTGCTACAGTATGGGGATCAAAGGCTCTAAGAGCTATCATCCTCTAAACCGCAGAGAAGTCTCCGGGCCTGGTGAGTCATTGCTTATAAATAAAGTGAAATTGGGTTGACAAGAGCTGCAGTGCCACACCTGGAAACCAAATTAGAACTCTATCTGATCATTAATGTCTCTAAACAGAGACTTCCAACCACATTTTGATCCCAATGTATGAGGAGCTGTATAGGTAAAATCCATATGTATGAATGCATGTATGTACATACATGTGTATATATATACACATATCTACATATATATGTTTTCCCCCCCAAGTTACCTACCCCCACTAAGTATCTCACATAATATGTATGGCATGAATATAGCTGAATCAGTTGCTTGTGTAGCAGGTAAAACAAGATGACCTTTTTCTATTACTCTAATTTATATAGTAAGAACTTTGATATATAATATAATTACGAAAAATAGAACTCAAACATGCCTTGTTTTAGTCAGGTCAAGATAAAGTTTCCTGCCTCTGAACTCTACATTTCCTATGTTGTCATATACTTTCAGTATCTTTAGTCTCTTTCTATTTGGCTTTTAATACAAAAATATGCCCTTGTATTATGAGGACAGTTGACCTTATCCCTCAACAGAAAAGCAAAGAAATACGCAGTACTTACAATAACCAGGAGCTGCCTTCAGAGATTTGTGGGACTTTTGCTCCAATTTGGGCCCTGGGGCGATGTCAGGTTGCTTTTTGGAATCTTGCAAAAGCATCAGAAATACCTTTTTGTAAATGAAAAAAAAAAACAAACTTAGTTTATATCCCTTTCCACATCACATCACATTTTTTTTCTTTTCCTCCATCACTCCATCATTGTATATTACAACAAGATACACCAAACTCATTGTTTTACTCAGTTACTCATTTAAATAGCAAAAGTGTAAGGCCATGTAGGTCTCTGGTTCTTTTGGAGCTGATTGCAAAACTGCTCACAGGATATGAAAATGAGTAAAATCTGACCTTACGTTCTGGTAGGGCCTGGTCAAAACAGTCAGGAGTAGGCAGGGAGGAAGCAAACTAAGGAGAAGTGGTATCCATGACAGTAACTCAACTAAGTTGGAATTTGTGGCTTATTGTACAAGCAGCTTAGAAATTCATGATGAATGAGGAAATAGTCTGGTGATGCTCACAATTGAGTGAGCATTTAGTTTTCACAATTCTTCACAAAGAATATGTGAAAATTTAAATAAGCAATTTGATCACATTAAGTAGTGCTAGAAACAGCAATCCAACCTCAAAAAGTTTAAAAGCAAGAGCTATCTCCCAGTCATGGAGCATGAGATGAAGAAGTCATGTGAATCCAGACAGAGGGAGATGTGTTAGGATGGAAATTTGTCATCTCTGGATGGAGGCTTGTTAGGGACTAATGCAGAGGGAGACAGTGTACCCTGACAGGAAGAGCAAGTGTATGCATCAGGAAGATCAAGAGCAGAGGTGATTTGTCTCATGAACTTCTAGAATGGCAGATCAACATGGAAAGGTCTGGGGACTTGGTTCTAAGGGCTAAGGCTCCTCCTAGCCAGCTCTGCATGGTCGGGCACAGAAACCCATCCCACGCCCACCCCAGAAAGGTGAACTGGCTGTGTATAAAACCAGATATTAATAGCAGTTCAAGTTCATGAGGATGGTTTTTAGGTGCTTAGCACATACTTGGAAAGTATGTTTTGACAACATTAGCTGACATTTACTCAAGGTTCTCTGTGGACGGGTCAGTGCTTGACTTGCGCCTTTATCTGTATCTTGCACGTACACATCCACCACTGTGTACAAATATAGAGATCTGGGTGTCCCCACTCCAGCCGTTTTCAATCAACTGTCTCTGTCTATCTCTCACTATTGACAACCAAGTATCCAAGTTAGCAACTTCCCAGACTTCTAATTTCTGAGAAACACTACCATTCTGACAGATCATCACCTACTTGTGGAAACAAGTAAAAGGGTATTCACTGTCTCCAAGGTATTCTGAGAAGCCCTTAGCCCACAGGGGAGATAGAGCACCAGAAGAGAGAAACAAATCATCTGCACCTGTTTAATTAGTTTGGGAGGGAATCCTGCTGAGAGAAATCTGTGTCCGCCCCTGGGTGAGAGGCCATTATTTTTCAGTAGGTCAGGTGTGATTACTTTTACTTGAAAGATAACCACATGCTGGGTCCCATTAAGACCCCCCAAGGAAAGCTGCAAACCTCAAGATTTCTACAAACAATAAAAATAAAATAATTGTTAACATTATGGGCCAATATATCACCCTAGGAAAACTATTATACTACTCTTATTTGTTTTGTTGTCATGTTGTAACGCAAGGACACACAAACTAAATTTGTTGCACGCAATAAATACATTTGTATGCCAAATGGTGAAAACAATGCCGGACACATGGAAGCTGGCAATATCTGGCCCTGTGAGTACCTGGTAGAAGAAGAGGGGTAGACACCCACATGGAATAGGTAAATTAGAGATCAACAATATTCACTAAGTGTTTATAAAGAATGAATGAGAAACAAAAATAAATAGAAAAGAAGTTTTTTTAATATATTCATAAGTTTTTAAAATATATTTATATCTTATTCTAAGTGGAATTTTCATTTACTCTCTGAATGTAATTGTGAATTACATAAAGTATATCTTGATAACAAATGAAATTACTGATAATAATCAGCTATTATTTTAACACTACTTATCTTCCTTTTCCAATTTTGCATTTGGGTACACATATGTGTAATATGTGCACATGTTTACATATCCGTGTTGAAGGAGGAAACACAGGATAAGGGAAAATGTTTCGTTCTCAATAATATCAGATCAGTAGAGAATACAGTGAATTGCAACACAACATAACTATCAGGAGAAATACGGATAGGATATACTGAACTATCATCATATACTGAACTATCAGGATATACTGAGAAATCTCCAAATTACAAATGTCAAATACAAGGCTAAGAACATAAGAATGTTATGATTGCCACCTGGTGCCAGTTCACCTTAACTGCGGGCACATTGTCAGTGGAGACAAAAATGTCAATGTAACTGACCATTGGATTAAAAGGTCATGTTATTCTAAGTAAAATAATAATGATTGCTACATAAAAGGTTGGGTTCTTAATGGCAGACATCGCCATTCTTTTCCCAGGCTGTTATTTACATGATAAATTGAAACAGATAGACTGGAGTCCTTAAGATTTCCTTGACAAATACTTCACGGAGCCATAATTAACCGTGGCTTTAATGAAAGAGAATTCATAAGGAGGTTCATCACATACCATTGACTTTGGGGTATGAAAGCTCTACAATGTAGTTTTATCTCTAGTACAGCATAAATCAATGTTTGTACTAGAATGCCAGATCTTCACAGCAATTTTTAAATAGCCAGAATAGGGAAACAAACACTTCATTTTATTTAGAAAATGCAAAAGCTACAAATATTTCTCATTGTAGATAGGATAAGAAAGGCCTGTTCAACATTTAGAAACACCCCTTCAAAAGAGAAAACAAAACCAAGCAGCCAGAAGGGAAGCTATTTGAGCACAGGTTAAACATATCACATTGGAACTACACTACTCACAGTTTAAGAAGTATATTTTTTATACTATTAACATAAGCTTGGCATCACATTAATGTGCATATTTTCCTACATTTTTGTGTTTCCCTTTTACTTCTAACAGAAGAGACTAACAGCTAGTTATATATAAACCAAAACAGACTCACACCAGGCATCTTTTCCATGAAAGTCCATTAGATAAGCCTACCTTTTTTTTTTTTTTTAAAGATTTATTTATTTGTACATACAGAACTGGGGTACAGGCCAGAGACTCAGGAGCAGTGAGAGACTTCACCAGAGACAGAGTGGGGAGCAGAACAGGCAGATCAACGAAGTAGACTGCTGAGGGGAGCAGTGGGCGGGTCAGGAGAGGTCTGCCACGCCATGTGGTTTCCTCCCGGGGCAGGCGGGGATCGAACTCATGCGGAAGTGGCTTTAGCTTCTCAGTGCAGTGCTTTAACCCGCTGCGCCACCAGGGAGGGCCAGATAAGCCTACCTTTAATTAATGTTTTGATGGTTTCACTGGAGTTGCATCAAAAGAATATCAAATGGGATTCCTTAAGCTACTCTTGTTAATTTTTAAGTAAATCAACTATATGAAATGAGTAATAATTAAATAAAAAATGAAATTAAATAAATAAAAATGTGATAAAAACAGGAAGAACAGTTTTCCAAAGACATACCACATGATATTATTAGTTCATGAAAACATGCTCAGAATAATAATATATAAAATTAAAATCCAGTGGCCCTCCACAGTGGTGCAGCGGGTTAAAGCACAGCATTGAGAAGCTAAAGCCACTTCCGCATGAGTTCGATTTCCGCCTACCCCGGAGGTGACCACATGGCGTGGCAGACCTCACCTGAACCGCCTGCTGCTCCCCTCAGCAATGTACTTCATCGATCTGCCTGTTCTGTTCCCCACTCTGTCTCTCACCACCCCTCAGCCTCTGGCCTGTATCCCAGTTCTGTATGCACAAATAAATAAATCTTTAAAAAAAAATTAAAATCCAAAATAATGAGATAGCAACTTATACCTGTTAGAAGGGCTATCCTCAAAAGAAAAGCAAATGAAAAATAGTGTTATAGAAAAGGCAGCTCTTGGGCGTTCTTGTTAGGAATGTAAACTGGTGCAGCCACTATGGAAAGCAAAACAGGGTTTCCAAAAAAATTTAAAACTACAACAACAGAGCCTCCTTCATGGCACAGGGGTTAAAGACAGTGTTATCAAACTAGTGCCAGAGACAGCGGCATGAGTTAGATCTCCGGCCAGCCAAGGCGTTAATCAAGTGGAGCTGCAGACTTTTCCTATCTTGCCCACTGCTCCCCTCAGCAATGTGTTTAAGTTGGTCCACCTGTTCTGCTCCCCACTCTGTCTCTGGTGAATCCTTTCACCAACACTCCCCACACCTCTGACCTACCCTAGTTCTTATATGCATAAATAAATAAGTCTTAAAAAATACAACATATAATAGCAGTTACACTATGAAGATATATCTGAAGAAAACTATGTTGTATGTTGAAGAGATAGCTACACTTCCTCCATGTCCATAGTAACATTATTCACAATAG